TGGAGCTCAGTGTGTATCAAGGTTCTAGAAAAAGCACAGGAGAAGTTAGGAAGAGAATATGAGAGGTGGGGACTCAGGATCATGAAAATTAACTTTCAGTATTTTTCAATGATAGTTTCAGTCTCTCACTCATGTGTCCTTGAAAATATATTACTACCCAAAGACTTCTGTTTTGGTTGGCTCTCATCCCTAGTTAACCTTGTCTTCTTACTCATGGTTGCCCGTTCTCTGAATTTTCTCCAAATTCAGACTTCTGCCTTGAGAAACTCACACGGATACCTTGTCTCGTCTCTGGGTCTTTCCTCTGGAGGGTGCTTTGGCCAGGGCCGTACTCTTCCACATCCTTTCAGCCCCACCTTATAACACCGAATCCATCCTACTGTTCCTTCACAGAAGTGCCCTCCCATCTCTGAGCACAAGAGCAAAACTGGTGCCTTTTAGGTGGTCAGTATCCAAACCAGAATGGTTTTACAAATAAAGGGGGGTGATTTTAGTTAAGAATGTTGCTGGATAACAGGTATAAATTAGAACTGTTCCAGGCAAACCAGGATTATGTATTTGGCATTTATCCTAGTTGTGACACCATCCCACTGACAGGCTGATTTTGAGAGCAGTCTTTGGATCTCCTGCATCCAGCCAGTTTTATTTAATTTTAAAATTAAAAATTTTATACAGGGTCTCACCTTATAATTAAGGTGGCCTTGAACTATGTAGTTCAGGCTGGCCTCAAACTCACAACAATTTTCCTGCCTCAGCCTCCTAAGTGCTGGGATTACAGGAATGCACCACCATATATGGCCTTCCTTCCTTCCTCTCTTAAACTTTCTATTGGAATTACAGAACATTGCAAATGTAGTTGTTTTTGTGTACCTCTCAGCCACTTTTTTCCTCATTAATATTTTGCATTTGTAAGGCTACATTTGTCAAAATTAAGAAGCTCCATTGGTTCGTTACTGTTGACCACAAAGCTTATTTGGATTTAACCAGTACTTTCATTACTATCTTCTTTCTGTTCCAATCCAGTGCAGGGCAGCACACTGCATTTAAGTTTTCATGTGTTCTGTTATTTGTTTTTAGTTTAAGAGCTTGTAGAAAAACAGCTCAAAATCACTCTGTGGTTGTAACTACCCATGCAGTGGCCTGTACTGGGGGGAGCTGCAGCCCAGTGTTCAGTGTCAGGCTGAGTGCTTATCTTCAGCCAAGACCTGCTAGATCAGCACAGGATTCCTGCACAGCCTGCACCTTAGGATGAACAGCAATAAACTCAGGAGCTCGTGTGTTCCATTTCGCCTGAAATTCCTTTTTTTTTTTTCTTTTAACTGGGGATTGAACTCTTCACAATCTCCTCATAAGCAGAGATCAGGCAGGACTGCCCATGGGTGTTCAGTAGACTGCACAGAACTTCCTGGACTATCACATCAGACTGAGTGTCCCTTGTCACATGGATAGCAGTGTCTGCATGACACCGAGAATATGTTATAGTAGTGGCAGGCATGTTAACGTAAGACCCCTCTGAGAAGCTGTCATCAGCCTTGGGACTGGTTACTTGCACAAGATAGGGTTCCCAGATGGCTGCCTGGATCTGGCTAATGAAATATCCAGCAATAGTGACTTCCTTAGCACCAGCAAACATGTAGATATATTTTACCTTTTGGAAATAGAAGTGGGCGCCATCTGAGTTCCTGCTGCAAGGAATTTAGGGATATCCTCCTTCTCCAGGACATCAAAGGTTCTGGATATTTTCCTTTTTGTAGTGCTGGGATAAAACCCAGGGCCTCATACATGGTATGAAAGTACCACAGAGCTACACCCAGGAGTTTTTTACATTATTATAACCCAGAGTAACACAATATGGACCCCTCTCTGGTTAGTGTGGGTCTACATATATTATTTGGATAAGGAAGAGGTTTTTTCACTTATTCAGTACTTTTTATCAACACAGTCTCATGTATGTTTTATACATATATATTTTGTATTTTTTTTTTTTTTGAGGCAACCTGTTTCTTAACCTTCTTGAAAATCTCTATTTTTGTTTTGGAGCAAGATATTAAACCTAGGACCTTTGGCATGCTAGACATATGCTTTACCAGTGAGCTGTAGCCCCAGCTCTAAAATCTTTTCCGAACATCTTTAAATAATGCTAGTAATTTTTCTTTTTCTTTTTGATTTTTTGAGACAGGGTCACACTATGCAGTTGAGACTGACCTGGAACTATGTAGCCCAGGCTGGTCTCGAACTCACAGTGATCCTCCTGCCTCAGCCTCCTGAGTCCTGGGATTACAGGTGTGCGCCACCACGCCTGGTCTTCATTTCAGATTATAATCCAATAGTATTTTTTTGTTTTGGTTGCTGTTGACAGTTCAGCACTAGCCACTTGGAACTCTTGTGGGTTGTCTACGTCCCTTTGTCATGTTCCTATCCTTTTGTTTGAGCAGTTCTTTACTTGAAATATATATATATATACACACACACACACACATAATATATATTTCACCCATTTTATGTGCACAGATATCTTTAAAGCTTACAAAGTTATGCAAAAGACACAACTTTTATAACATTTTTGTCAGCCCTGAGACCCCTTGTACCTTTCTGCAGACAATCCCTGCTTTCATTGTAAGCCCATGCAACCAGATAGCTGCTTTAGAGATTTCTTTTGGACTTTCATACAAATAGAATCATACCTTATGTGGCCTAGTCCTCAGGCTTATTTCACCTCTCAAAATGTTTTTGAGGTTCATCTGTAGCGTGTACCAGTACTCTACGATATGGATGTCATTTAAAAAAATCTATTTACCTGTTAGTTGATGGTCAGATTGTTTCCAACTTTATTTTTTGACAAATATAATATTGCTATAAACATTTACATAAAATTCTTTGTCTGAACACATCTTCATTTCTCTGCAGCTGGCACACTGAGTACAACTGGGGGATAGTATGGCAACCTTGTTTAAATTTTTAAATGAACATGTAGCTTTTTTATAATACCACAGTCATTCTAGTGAACATGACATACTAATTTTGGTTTTGATTTCCATTTCCTAATAGTGACGTACACATTTTCATATGCTAAGCTGCTCATGTATCTTTGTTGAAATGTCTATTTGAATTTTGTCTATTTAAAAATTATTTGCTTTGAGTTTTAAGAACTATTCATATATTCTGCATACAAATCCTGTATCAGATACATGATTTAGAAAATTTTTCTCCCAGTCAGTGGTTTGTCAATTAAATTTCTTAATGGTGATTTCTGAAGCATAAAATTTTTGTATTTTAATCCATCTTATGGATTGTGCTTTTGCTATCTTAAGAACTCTTTTCCCAAATGAAGGTCATCTAAAGTTTTCTGTTTCTTATAAACATTTTAGTTTTAGCTTTTATGTTCAGGTTTCTGATCCATTTTGTTTAATTTTATATACCACGGTAAGGGACTTAATCTTTTTGCTTTGCTTAGCATCTACTACCAAATGTCCTAGTATTATTATTTTTTTTGAAAAGATCATTTTTTTCTCAGTGAACTGAATTGTCTTGGAACCTTTGTTTAAAATCACTTGACCACGAATATGATTTATTCCTGTATGTTCTCCTGTTTCACCAATCTATACCCCTCTCTTTCCATTAACACATACTATTGATTATTGTAAGTTCTTTTTGGTACTGGGGATCAAACTCAGGACCTTAGGCTTGTGAGGCAGGCAGCAGAACCACTGAGCTAAATCCCCAGCCCGACTGTATAATAAGTTTAGAAATCAGGAGGTGTTAATTTCCAGAACTGTTTTAGCTGGTTTGGATTCTTTGCATTTCCATATAAATTACAGGATCAGCTTGTCACTGTTTCAAATAAGCATGCTATGACTTTTTTCCAAACCAGTAACTGCATGCTTTTTTCATTAGCTTATGTACTCCTTTAATTATAAAAATTTATAAGGTATGATATTGGTAATTCAATCCATGTATACAGTATATGATGATTAAATCACAGTAAACATTTCCACCTCTTTGAAAACTTTTTAAAAATATAATTTGCTGTCAAAAAATACAAATCAAAATCACAGAGATCTTATCTCAGAATGGCTAGAAGCACAGAGACAAAAAATAAAGGGCTGGCAGCCAGGTGTGGTGATGCACACCTATAAACCCAGGTTTTGGGAGGCAGGAAGATTGCTGCAAGTTTGAGGCCAGCTTGGGCTACACAGTGAATTCAAGGCCAGTCTGAACTACTTAGGGAAACCCTATTAAGAAAAAAAACAGCATGGGGTGGGCTGGGGTGTAGCCCTGTAGCTCAGTGGTGGAGCACTTGCCTCGTGGTGGAGGCCTTGGCCACATGGAGAATTTGGAGGTTTCTTAAAAACAGATCAACATAATGATACATAAGATCCTAATGAGATAACTGACAATATGAAATAGGAAGAAAAGGACTAAAGGTGTAGGGAAAGTGGGAAGGGTAGGGGAAAGGTAATAAGGGAAAAGAAAAAAATATGAAAAAATGAAAAAATGGAAATGAAGTGTTTGTGAATGGGGAGGTGAGGAGGGATGAAGGGAGGGCAGAGACAAGGGGAAAAAATGAGAATCAAGACCTATCATGTAAAGGTACAAGATCCCAATGAATTTAACTGTACTGTATACCTAAAATGTACCAATAAACTCAATGAGAAAAAAAAAACCAGATCAACAGTATGATCTAGGTATCCCATCCCTGGGTATATATCCAAAGCCAATGAAATCAGAGTATCAAGAGGTAACTGTATATCCATGTTTACTGCTGTATTATTCACAACAGCTAATATTCAATCTATGATGCCCAATGGATGAGCGGATAAAGAAAATAGGCTGTTAGGGACCATGGATTTAGCCAGTGGTTCCAGCACCTGCCTCATAAGCACAACGGCCTGAGTTCAATCCCAGGTACCAAAACAAAACAAAAACAAAAACAAAAAAAGAAAATATGCTGTAGTGGGGATTTAGCTCAGTGGTTCCAGCGCCTGCCTCACAAGCGCAAGGGCCCAAGTTCGATCCCGGGCACCCCCCCAAAAAAGAAAATATGCTGTATATACACAACAGATCATTAGCATTAGCAGCAAAATGGATGGAAATGGAGGATATTATGTGAGATAAGTCAGACACAGAAAGACAAGTAGAACATGGTCTCTTATTTCTGGATGTTTTAAAAAAGTTAATCTGACAATGTAGTAGTAATTACTAGAGACTGGGAAAGATATAAGGGAGGGAGTACAGAGAAAGGGAATAGGTACCGAGACAGAAGTAATTCTGCTGTTCTACAGTGCAGCGGGGTGACTGTAGTTCATAATAATCTGTATTTTATAAATAGAGAAGAACTTGAAGGCTGTAAGCACAACGAAATGACCAAGAGATGGATATGTTAATTACCCTGATTTGATCAGTACAAATTGTATGTTCTGAAATATCATAGTAGAAGAACTGCTGGTTTAACAACGTCAGATGTTCCAATTCATTAACACAGAATGCCTTTTACATCTATACCTTTTAAAATTTCTCTAAATGTTTATAAATTTCACTATTCAAGTCTTTTGTTAAACTTATTCCTAAGTTCTTGTTTTTTGATGCTGTTGTGAATGGAATTTTTTCCTTTTTCCATTGTTGATACACAAAAACACAGTTGTTTTTTGTATACTGATATTGTAATCTGTGGCCGTGCTGAACTTTATTGGTTCTAGCACACTGATTTTTTTTTTAATGGTTATGTCATCTAGTTAGATTAGGTTAAAAAAAAAATCAAATATGTCTCAAACTAACAATAGGGTAGTAGCATTCAGTCCTTTTCAATAGAGACAGTATGGCCGACTTCCTTATTTTATAGACAACTGAAATGAAGTCAATAAATTTCAAGTGACTTGAGCTGGGGATGTAGTTCAGGGGAGGGTGCTTGCATAGCTTGCACAAAGCCCTGGGTTCTTTTCACTGGGTTTGTTGAAAAAAACAACAAACCATTTGGATGACTTGGTCACAAAGCTAAAAACAATTCAGGTCTACCTTCTGTCTTCTTTACACTGTTGGGTATTATTAGGATCTGTCGTTTTCTTCAATGTCTAAAGTTCCTGAAACTGTCTGAGATCTCCCGTTGACTGCTGTGGAGGCAGCAATCTAAATTCTAGAGATTTGTCTGTTTTGAAAAACACTAAAATGTTTCCCCCTTTAAAACGCCTGATTGTAGAACATCCTGGGATTCTCATTTTGGACCTGTAAGGTTAATCATCTTGCTTAGGATCTAGAGTAGAGTTAGTTTCTTTAAAGAAATCTAGACTTTTGTAAAGGATTTCATCGTAGATTGCATTTATTGACCTAATTATTTACTGTTCTTTAGAGTTTATATTGGAAGGCCAAATGGTAACGTTTTATTTATTTTTTTGTCAACTGCTTTGATAACTGGTATCATTCAGAGAAATTAGGTTATTATATTTTCTTTAATATTGATTCCAATTTCAATTTATGACTTCAGTTTTTTTCAAATAAAAGTACTATGTCTGGTAGCCAAGGATGCAAGGACTTGGGTTATTTTTGCTGGGCTAATGGCTTTCCTCTGTCTGGGGAAGTTATCCTCTGCAGTTAGGCACTGGGAGATAGGGAATGAAACTTGAGAAGGTAAAGCTCTTTCTTGGAACAAAACTAATTATCAGTCACCACTAGATCATGGCTATGGCTAGAATTCCAGACATGGTGAGTAGTTCATCTTCTATTCTCTCTTCCTTAAATATATCTGTGAAGCGAAAAAGGACAGTTTAAGTAAGACACTTATTTTACCAGCTACTGTAGACACTGTGTTGTCTTCCTAATACATATTCCATTTCTTTCCTATTATGTCACAACAGTCTGGATAGAGGAATCGCAGCTTCATGTTCAGTTCCAGGGATAGGCCTTGACTGACCAAGGTCCACTAGAAAATTCCATTTCTCTCCCCATTCCTTACCAGAGTGGGTTAGCTCGTGTTGGCATGTCTAATCTGAGTCCCATGAGCTAAAATAATAAAAATATACTTAAGGAAGTTTTGTTACATACATTAACTATACATTTTACATGCAGTCAAAGACAAATCATTATGGCTTGGGCAAACCAAAAGATTAGACGCATTCCCATGGCCACAAAGATTGGTTCAGGGATATCCTTGATTAGTCTGAAGTTCAAGACCTTCACCAGGATCGTATGGTATATTATATATAAAACTAGAACTACCAAACAATTTTGACACCTCTGGTATAGCTTCTAACATGGCCCCCGCAATGATTGGTGCTTCCTGGTATTCATGTCTTTGGACAACCCTCTCATGAGTGTGGGCTGGACCTAGTGATTAGTTTCTAAAAAAATATAGCAAAGTGATGGTGGTCACTTCTGACAATTGTTACAAAGACTGGCTTCCATCTGGGTATGCTTTCTCACTCACTGTGAGGGAAGATATGTGCCATGTCACGAGGTGTGCTGTACAAAAATCCACATGGCAAGGTTATTAGGGGAGATCTCTGGACTCACTTGTAGTTCAAGATGAAGTCCTTCAACTGTAACATAAAACTGAAGCACTGGAGATGTGAATAAGGAGGGAAGAGATGGAGAGTTAGGAGACATTCTGATGGACAGTTCTGGAAGAAGCAAGGACTTGAGACATGGAGAGAGACGCCAGGAGCAGAACTAAGATTCAAGGAAGTGCTGGGTGTGGTGGTACACAGAGGGAGGCTGAGGCGGGAGGCTGATGCAGGAGGCTTGCTGTGAGTTCATGGCCAGCCTGAACTACAAAGTGAGACCCTGTCTAAACAAGAAAAGAAGGAAGGAAGGTATGTAGGTAGGTACATAGATTCAATGAAGCCAGACAGGTATATTCAACATGCTCATCTGCCTATAAGACGACTAAGGTACTACCTGGGTAGTGGGTGACTTCATCAGAGCAGCAGGACGAAGACGTTCACAAGGAGTCACTGCAGTGGCTGACACTTCTTCCCAGGAAGTAGTTTACATCACTGGGACATGTGGGATGGCCCGGGCTTTAGTAAACAGTGAGGGGTTTTCTGGATGCAAGAAGTGTAACTAACTGCTATAGTCTACAAAGGGAGAGTAGCAACAAGGATGGGATAAAGGAAAGTGCTGTAGCTAGAAGTGACCGAGGTAGCTAAGAACAAAGGGATAGTACGCCTTTCTCAGCAAGCTGAGGGCATCCTGAAGTCCGTACAGCACTTGGCTTTGAAAATTTCCACAAAGGGCTGGGGGTGTTTCTCAGTCGTAGATGCATAAGGCCCCACATTTGATCTCCAGAACCAAAACTAACTCCCTCGATTTCTAATATGAAAAGAAGAATCTACATTGGTAAGAAATGAGAAAAATCTAAAGTAAAATATAATCCAACTTACCACTCTGGTTAACAGCTAATTCTAAATATGATGGTTAAACTTTCAAGGTCTTCATTCTTTAAGTGTAATTCTTCAAGCAGGGTGGCTATAAACTGTGCAAATAACACATTTTTCAGAGAATGCTTCTGAATGCCAAGAACTGGGGTCAGTCTGAAACAACCAAAAATACTAAATGAGAAGAGTGAAGGGACTCATCTTCAATATGGCAGGGAGGATTGAGGTCTCTGATTTAACAAAATTCCCAGAGAAAAGCTTTACTAAAAATGGTAGCAAAGTTTCAGGAAAAGGAGCAAATATTGTCGAGTAGGATGTCTGAATTTATTAAGATGTTTTTTATTACGTCAGAAACGCCTACTAAAATTCTGTTTAGAAAAGAAAATGAATTTCTATTTAAAGAAAGGAGGTTATGGAGAGGAGCTGAGTCCTGTTTTCAACAATTCATAGAGAGTATTTGTATTTCCAGAAAAAGATACTAGACACATTACTTTTTGCAACCGTAACACTGTTCTTTTAAAAACACTGAATAAATTATGTCTCACAAGATATTTAATACAACTTTGTAAGGAATTGTATGCTTTTTTTCACTGTTTCTGGTAAATAACCCTGAAGACTGAACTAACTGCATATAATGGAATCTTTAAAGTGATTTTCATTAAAATGTGATAAGCAAGATTTTAAAATAGTAAGCAATCTAGGAGATTCAGGACTGTGAACACAGACAGATAGATGCCTAGAGGTCATCACCCTCCTTCTTCACAAAGAACCAAAATAACAAGAATGTAGTTACATTTTAAGGTGAGTAACCTTGGAAAAGACTGGAAATCAGCAAGAGAGAGAATGGAATCTTAAAAGATTTGGAGACCTGGGACAATAACACAGTGAGAGAAATAAAATATCCTGATCTATCACCCTACACCCACAACCAGTAGGGAGGGAATCTTCTCTTTGCAGGGGTAAGGGTGCAAGAGTCTCAGGGAATTATATCATTGTGGACGCTGGCAAATCCTGGCTATTGGGAACTTTACAATCTCCCAGCCTAGTAGCTTAGATAAGTAATCTGAAATCTGCACAGCAGCCTTGCTTTGGAAAAGGATGTCATATCATCTCCCAGAGATTCCCCCAGTATGCTACAGCCAGGGGCCATTTTGAGAAGTAGGCTGAGTTTAGACTATGCTAGGGATCAGAACAGCCTGCATAACCATCTCTGGCACTCCACAGACATTCCACTGCACTGGCTAGGAGGATAGATGCCTTGTAAACCCAACTTGATTGGGGAGGGTTCAGATTGTGATCTTATTTCTGCTGGGTAAGTAACAGGTGTTTTGACATGGAGGAGAATGGAGACTGGAGGGTATCATCTTTGTGAATAAGATTAGGGTGCATGGTCTCTAAACCAAGGGTGGGGTCAGCTGCCCCTGGATTCATGCCAGTGCCAGGACTGAAGGCAGGCAATTACTTGGCTCTGTCTGTCCCTCTGTCCTGGGCAGTACTCAGGTGTGTGCTACAAGAGTAGGAAAGGGAGGGAACATTGTTTCCTGCTGCTATGTGCCTACAAGGGCCCACCTCTCCAGAAGAACTCTGCCCAGCTCTGTCCATGGCCCTGTTATGGCTTATATCTAGATGTCCAAAACCTCATGTTCATAGGTGGGGCTTTTGTGAGGTGGCTGGATCATGCATGTGTGATAAGTGGATTAATCCACCAACTGGCTTAGTATAGTTTAGAGTATGGATAATAAGGCCCACTCTGGGTGTGCATAGCACCAACTAATGGGCATGCAGCCTGAGTAGAATAAAAAGGGAAAGGAAGACTTGCTGCTTCTTGCCTGCCCCACCATGAACTATTTCTCCTCTGCTTAGGAACTAGCCAAATATGGACTGAGACTTCTACCACGGTGAGCTAAAATAAATCTTTCCTCTTTTAACTCGAGGGTATTGGGTATTTTGCCCCAGAAATAAGAAATTAACTAAGACTGGCCCACTCCCAGGTGGGAATTGTTACAACAGAAGGGAAAAGCGAATACCATCATTTCCCACTGACACCCCTCCTATGCAACAGTTCCTGCCGCTGTCCTGCTCCTGCCTTGTCTGACTATGCACTGTCAGGAGTGAGTACCACAGAGGGGGTGTTGCAGCTCCTGCCACTGCCTCTCCCTGTGCGGCATCTGGGGCTGTACCATTGAATAGTTAGAGAACAATTACGCCAGGCCTTTCACACTGCATGGTGCCATTGCTAGAGGCCCTTGCTAGTTATAGACCTAGCACCAACTGTGCCTGAAGATATACCCACTGCTGATAGGGGCCACCACACCTATAGTAGGACTAGCCACACAGTGAGCACCTCACATCCACATACCTGCATGAACTGCTTGTCTCCATTCTTCGGGTCTCTGACTGTCATGGTATGCACTATGCTTAATCACAACCAGCACGTTTTAAGGAGACTATATTATGGTGTGCAGATACAATAAAAGCTGGCAATGTATAACAAACATCATCCTAAGACACATCACCAGGAGGAAGCTACTTATTAATAAGATTTCTCCATAAAAGTGGTATAACTGTCTGATCCACTAAATGGGCACATCTCAATGTAGGAGCACAAGAAATACGAAGAAAACAAGGTACTAGAATGACTCCAAAAGGACTAACAACAGATTCCAAAGAAATATAAACAGATGAAATGCCTGACAAAGAATTTAAAAAACGATTATAAAATAGGCCAGTAAAATCCAATAGATAAACAGGTGAATGAAATTAGAAGTATAATGCAGGATGTAAATGAGAAATTCTGCAAAAGAGATTATGAAAAAGAATAAAAAGTCTTGGAAATGAAGAGTTCAAAAAGTCAAATACAAAATACACCTGACAAATGAACCAGTGGAAGGATGTCTGAAGTTATTTATTTATTTAGTTTTGGTACCGGGGATTGAATTCGGATCCTTACACTTGTGAGGCAGGCAGCGGAACCACTGAGCTAAGTCCCCAGCAAGTTATATTTTAAAAAAATATCCCAGTCAGATGATGAATGCAACCACCACCATAAACAAATTAAAAAAAAAAATCCAAAAAACAAACTACAAAAAATGGAAAAGAAGGAAGAAGAGTATTCAAGACCTATGAGACACTATTAAATGAAGAGATATCTGTATTTTCAGAATATCTGAAGGCAAGGGGAAAAAAGGGTACAGAAATTCTGTTAAATGAAATAATCTTCTAATCTTGGGAAAGATTAGGACATTCAGGTACTTGAGACTTGTAGGACCCCAGCCAGATGTTTTCAAAAAAAGATATTCACCTTTGTATATTATAAACTGTCCAAGACAAAGTTTACAATCTGCAAGAGAAAAATCAAGTCATGTTGAAGTGTTATCTCATTGTGTTAGCTTTTCATTATTGACACAAAATACCTGAGGTAATCAAGTTGGTACAGTGGACCCTCGAGTTACAACAAGCCTGACATAAGAACAACTTCAATTATGACCATAACCTTGAGTTATGACCCAAATGCCCACTAGTGCTTCCAGATGGTCTCAGATATAGATTAACCCTTAAAGAGCTCTGGAAGGAACATTACAACATCCTTTCCTGTGTGGGGTTAAGAAATCCTGGGCCAATGTCAAAGGACACTGAGATCTGCCTATATACAGGAGAGAGACTTTGAAGGTTGTGTAGAGGAGCTTGAGCTATTGACCAAGTTGCACTACAGCCAGCCTTGAGAACAAAATTGAGTTCTTAAGTCAAGGGTCCACTGTAAAATGTTTATTTTGGCACACAGTTTCAGTCCATGGTCATGTGGCCCTGTGGGTATGTGGAGGCACAGCGTGTCAGGGTGGGAGTGCATGGTGGATGAGTCTTAACCTCTTGGTGGCCACAAAGCAGAGACACAGGAATGAGTCATGGTCTCAATACCCTCTTCAACAAAATATCCCCAGTGATCTAATTTCCTTTCATTTAGCTCTAGCTTCTGAAGTTTTCACTATCTCCCATTCATTAGCACCACGAGCTGGAGACCTAGCCTTCAACACATGGGACATGTAACATCAAAAGTGTAATACCCATTAGACTAATAGCAGGCTTCTCAGCAGAAATGCTATAGGCCTTGAGGGAGTGGAATGACATATTCCAAGTCTTGAAAGAAAATAACTGCCAACCAAGATTACTATATTCAGTAAGGCTACCCTTTAGAAATGAAGGAGAAATAAAGACTTTCCAAGACTAGCAAAAACTGAGGGAATTCATGAGTACCAGATGAGTCCTATGAAAGATTCTTAATGAAATCTTACGTCTGTAAGTGAGAGATAACTACTACCATGAAAGAATGTGAAAGTATAAATCCTATTAGAATAACACACAGAAAAGAATCAAACATTATCAATACAATAAACCATTAAATCATAAAGATAGAGAATATTCAAAACTAAAAGTTAACAAAATGACAGCAATACATCCTTACCTATCAAGAATAACACTGAATGTAAATGGACAAAATCCTTCAATTATAAGATACAGAATGGCTGAATGGATTTAAAAATGCCTAACAACATGTTACCTACAAGAAGCTCATCAGTAAACACACAGAGAAAATGGTAGTCCAAGCAAATGGAAACCTAAAGCAAGATTAGCTATACTTACATCTGACAAACAGGCTTTAAGACAAAAACTGTAAGACTAAACAAAGATGGTCACTTAATAATGATCAAGGAATCAACAAGTAGATATAATGACTGTAAATCTAAATGTGTCTAATGTTGAAGTAGCCTATTTTATAAAATAAACACTATTACCATCAAAGAGAAAGAAGTTTCAGAACAGTAATAGTGGGGAATTGCAACACTCCATTTTCATCAATGGGCAGATCATCCAGACCCCATCCCCCCAAAAAAAGCAATACCAGTGTTAAACCATACTTATAAACCTTTTATAGAATATTCCAACAGAACATTTCAAGAGCTGCAAAATACACATTCTTTTCATCAGCAGATGGATCCAAATATACTAGGATCCAAATAAGTCATAACAAATTTAAAAAACTAAAATCGTATCTTTTCTGATTACCATAGAATAAGATGAAGTCAACAAAAGAAATTTCAGAAACTATAAGAATTTTTGAACAAAACACTTTGGGTATGAGCATGGTACTAGGGATAGAA